TCTCCCCCGGCTTGTGTTCCTGCTCTCGCTGTCTCTCTCTCTGTCAAATAAATAAAATCTTTAAAAAAAAAAAAGAAAGAAAGAAAGAAAATGGAGTTATGGAGTTAATTCTCAGATGCTTCCCTAGGAGATGCTCTTGGAAGGACGGAGGTATGAATGGGGGCACAGGTGGAGCACCTCTTGATCCCTGCACCCTCATACCCACACTGCCCAATGGCAGAATAGAGAAACAGCACAAGGTCATGGGCATGCCTGGCATAAAAGGGACGTTGTGATCATTACCAGTTTTGACCTTGTTCAGCATATTCTGCCATCCAGGTCCTGGGGGGTCAACAGGGCTGGGCTAGCCTCCCTGGCTGTGAGGGGCAGTGCTGCTCAAGAGTTGAGACACTTTGTCTGGCTCTCAGATCCTTCCCCTGTTTTGCTTTATCAACTCCTCAAGGGCAAAGATAAGCCCTATCATGTCCCCTACTTACTGGGTTGGCAGCTCTTGAGGGTAGCCGTGTGCTTTTGCCCCAGGCAGGCAGCTTTTCTCCTGCCATTTCTCCAGAGCTTCCTGGGGCCAAGCCAGGCAGCTGTCCCATCCTGTCCTGGGTCCTCAAGTTGTAGTTTTGTCTCTGGCATGGGCCTGAGACTGGGTCGCTGAATTGAGTGTCCATCCCAAGCCTCCTGCCAAGGCGTGAGGGTGCTGAGTTCCATCCACCCAGGCCGACAGACGCCAGTTGGGCTGGTGATGGGGCTAGGCATGGGGGGAGGCTAGCAGGCGAGCCCCGGAGAAGATGTTAAATGAAGATTGTGGGATGACTCATGGAGAAGGATGAGCTCTGACCAGACTGGCCCTGGAAGGCCGCCTCTGTGACCAAGTCTGGTTTGAGCTGGGACTTGCCAGATGAGTAGGGAACTGGGGCAGGGGAGCTCCAGCCAGTCCCTTTCATCTTCCCCTTTATGGCTTGGGGATCTGGCACTGGCCTCAGGATGCCCCTAACCCTGGGGAACCCTGTCCAGAGCCTCCCCCAAAGTGCTTGTGGTGGGACATGCCACATAGCCCCTTCTCATGGGGCAGGGGTCTGAAGGCAGGGCTGCCATGGAGGGGCCTTGGGCAGGTTGGAATCCCTCCCATGGGGGTCGTCAGTGCCGTCTTTCCCCTCTACCTGCACCCGCACTGCCAATGGGTCCCCTGTGCCCCCCAGCACCCGACAGACGTTGACTACAGGGTCATGGCCACCTTCACCGAGTTCTACACCACTCTGCTGGGCTTCGTCAACTTCCGCCTCTACCAGTCGCTCAACCTGCACTACCCACCCAAGGTAGGGCCCAGCCCAGCCCAGCCCAGGTCCTTCTCAGTGTGCAGGGGCCACGGCCCTGCTCTCCCCACATGGAGGCGGGGGCTCTGGCATCCTCTCCCTCTGACCTTCCCCCTGCCTCCCAGCTGGAGGGTCAGGTCCACACAGAGGCGAAGGCCAGTGAGGACACCTACGCGTTGGACTCCGAGAGCTCCATGGAGGTGAGAGAGGCTTCCAGAGCACTGGTCCTGCATCCCCCCACAGAAGGGTGGTCACTGGCCTGGGGGTGGGGTTGTGCATGGCTAGATGGGTGGGCTCGGGGCTTGCTCTTGGAACCCAAGCCCACTGATGTCCTAGAACTGTCACTGTTCCCCCTTCCCCACCGTGACCATGCTCCCAGACAAGACCTCCCACCTGTAAGCGGCAGCCCTGCTTCTTTCCTGTAGAAACTGGCGGCGTTGGGTGCCAGTCTGGCCCGCATGGTGGTGCCTGTGGAGGAGGAGGCTGAGGTGGATGAGTTTCCTGCTGATGGGGTGAGGACTGCGGGCCGGCAGAGGGGGGCGCCTTGGGACTGAAGGGTCTAGAGAGAGGCTGGGGACCATCTCCGCCCTGTGCCCTCCAGTGCGGGACTGGGCAGGCCCAACGGTGGCACGGCCTCTTTTGTGGCAGGAGACGACAGCGCAGGCGGAGGGCCTCAGGAAGGAGCTGGAGGCACAGGAAAAGCACAAGAAACTTTTTGAGGGCCTGAAGTTCTTCCTCAACCGTGAGGTGCCCCGCGAGGCCCTGGCTTTCGTCATCAGGTGGGAAGCTGACGGCAGCGGCTCTGCCCCGCTCTGGGCTGGGTCCCGGCCTGGATGCCCGCAGTGACCTCGGATGGTGGCAGCAACCACGCCTCAGGCGTGTGCTGCACATTCACCGGAGTGGGCGTGCGGAGCGTTCAGCCCGAGCACGCAGGTGGCATTCGCCCCCCGGGCAGCTAGCACCACCTTCTCACCGGCTTAGGGCCGGCCCCCACTGGGCCAGCACTGGAGGTGTCGGCCCGATGACGGGGGAGATCCCGGTGTGGGGGGAGGGCACGGGTGTGTCCTAGGAGGGGGAGCTTGTGGGCCACCTTCATGCTGGCGCTTCATGCTGAATACTCTTGTGCTCTCCCCCTGTGCCTGTAGGAGCTTTGGGGGCGATGTGTCCTGGGACCAGTCTCTGTGCATTGGGGCCACGTATGATGTCACAGACTCCTGCATCACCCACCAGATCGTGGACCGGCCTGGGCAGCAGACACCTGTTATCGGCAGGTAGGTCCGCAGTGCTCTCATCCTTCTCCATCTGTTTGGGTTTCTGGGGCCGGAGGTCTGTCTCCAGCCCCAGATGCAGAGGGGCTTCAGGTTGCTTCCATGACCTGTCTCTACCACCAGGTACTATGTGCAGCCCCAGTGGGTGTTCGACTGTGTGAATGCACAGCTCCTCCTCCCCGTGGCGGACTACTTCCCCGGAGTGCAGCTGCCTCCACACCTCTCGCCCTTCGTGTCGGAGAAGGAAGGAGATTATGTCCCTCCCGAGAAGCTGAAGCTGTTGGCCCTGCAGCGGGGAGAGCACCCAGGTGAGTGGGCCAGGCGATGGGATGGATAGGTTCCTCCGGGCTGGCTTTGGCCTCACCTCATTGTTTCCCTCCTTGGCTACAAAGGTGGCAAGCTCCTGAGAATGGGACAGTAGGGGCACAAAGCCCTTTAAACCAACCTTTGGAGTCAGGCTTAGGAGAAGGGAACGAGTCTGTCCTACAGTCAGCTGTTGCTTGATGTTCAGAGTGACCAAGCAGGAGCGGTCTGGAAGTTGTCATGGGTATTTACGTAGGAGGTGGCAGAGCTCAGGGTTGGGGACCTGGAGTTTCCTCTGAAGGCAGCTGGGGCTGTGGGGAGAGGTGCCAGAAGGAGCCACAATTGGGACAGCCGTGCACTCTCTTTGGAGTGTCTTCGTGGCTGAAGAGCATGGTGCCTGGGCCCAGCTGTTGGTCTGCAGGGAGAAGGGGAGGCTCTCGGGGCTTTCAGCAGTCATTGCCCTTTTATAGGAAATATGGGTGAATCTGAAGAGGAGGATGAGGAGGAAGACGATGATGGTGATGGTGATGAAGGGGGAGAAAATGAAGAGGAGGAGGAAGAAGATGCAGAGGCTGGTTCAGAAAAGGAAGAAGAGGCCCGGCTGACAGCCCTGGAGGAGCAGAGGATGGAGGGGAAGGTACTAGGAGGCTGACGGGGGGCACAGCCTGGGAAGCAGCCACACTGGCCATCTTCGGTGCCAGCCCCGGCCTAGAAGGGCAAGAGCCAGGGGACTGGTCGGGGTGGGGAGACCCACCATCCACAAGTGTCCACCCTGTGTCCCCAGAGGCCCAGAGTGATGGAAGGCACCGTGAAGCTGGAGGACAAGCAGAGGCTGGCCCAGGAGGAGGAGAATGAAGCCAAGCGCCTAGCCATCATGATGATGAAGAAGCGGGAGAAGTACCTTTATAACAAGATCATGTTTGGCAAGAGGCGCAAAATCCGAGAGGTGAGTCCCCACCACCCGCCTGAGACTCCAGGTGTGGCCACCGGATGTGGCTGCACAGGTGAACTTGGGGGCTGACTGGCTCTCCTCTGCACAGACTCCGGGCCCTTTCTTAGCCTTTTTCTGAGGTTACCCATCTGGCCTGGCCTGGCCCAGCCCCTGGGGCCCCCACCCAGGCCTGTATGGGCAGCTTGGTGTCAACAGCTTGTGCCTGGGCTTTCTTCAGAGTTTCAGTCTCCTTTCTGACACCCAGCTCTTTCTGAGTGTACTGACATCTGGGGACAGAGGTGTCCCAGCAGACTCAGGACCCACTTTCACAAACGACCACTTAACAGATGTGCATAAAGCAGGAGGCACTGTGGGAGGTTTGGATTAAGTTTCTATTTTGTTTCCTCTTGTTCACAAAGCCATAGATGCTCATTGTAAAAAAACTTTTTTTTTTTGAAGTGCTTTGCAGAACTCTATAATCGGTGATGCGGGAGTGGCTCACAGTCCTGCCTTTGGGGTGATGTGTAGTAACAGCGCCCCAGTTTCTTCTGTGTGTGTAATAACATGGGATTTTAGAGCCATCATGCTGCATACAGGTTGTTTTGCAGTGTGTTTTTCATTTAACCATAGGGTGAATTTCTTGGCTATGACCTCATACAAGTGACCTGTTCTCTAGATAGGATTAGTTTTTCATTTTGAGGCATTCTTAGAAGACACCCTTGAGCACATCCCTGCCTCCCTCTGAAGTCTCTGCAGGGTATATTCACGGGCATGTAATTGCCAGGTTGAAAGGCCTAGGTATGTTTTGTAGTAGATGTTGCCAAATGGGCCGCAGGGGAAAGACCCCTCCCCAGCAACCTGGTGAAGGTTTGATTGGCATTCAGCTTCCCCAAGGAGGAAGGTAAAAATGGGGCAACTGCTTCCAGCTCTGGGAGCCTGGGATCCTCCTAACTTGTTATGGGCCCATTGGATCATAGAGCCCTAAAAGCAAAGGTAAAAGCTTGTTTCATTGCCTGAGGTTGTTCAGTTAGTTATTTTTCCTCCTGGTCATTTGCCTATTTAGCTTTCCTGGAAGCTCTGCCTTTAAGGGACAGCCTTGAGTGGGAAGAGGAGAGGTACCCCACAATCACAGCTTGATCCCCCCCTGTCTCCTCACAGGCCAACAAACTGGCAGAGAAGCGGAAAGCCCACGATGAGGCTGTGAGGTCTCAGAAGAAGGCCAAGAAGGCCAGGCCAGTGTGAGTGGTGGCAGCCTCTTGATGGGTGAGGCCCGCTCCCGGCAGCTGGACTTGGCATAGGCAGGCCGGAGGACGCAGGCTTGGTGGCAGACCAGAGTCTCTTCTGTTTTCATCCCCTTCCTCCCCCTGCCGGCCCTGGCTTCCTCTCACGCTCTCTGGCTGGAGCCCCAGCCTCCGTTGGATGGAGCTCCCTGCTGGTGGCTGGGCAGAGGAGAGGCCTCTGTGTCCAGCCCAACTTGATGCTCCCAGAAGTCAGTGACATCGAGGGTAGGGGCCTGACCAAGCCCCTCACCGGCTGCTTCCGTTTCCCCTGGCTTTCTGCAGCGCCCCCTTCCCCCCATGGTTGGACCTGTGATTCTCCTGCTGCTGTGATGGGGTGAGGGTGAGGAAGCGTTTGTTATTAAACAGCTGGAGTTTTAGAACCAGTTGAATTCTATGTTCATGAGCCTTCGTGGGGTTGGAGAAGGGCCACCTAGTGAAGTGGAGTCTACCCTTGGCTCACATTCCAGCCCAGGTATTTTTCCTCTGTGAATGGTGCTTCCTCCTGTGTAAATTAAGGGTAGAAATTCTGGAGCCTCTCTGGGGGGTGGGGGCAGGGGGCGGGGGAGGGGAGGGTTCAATGGTAATGTTATGCAGACTTAGTAGTGTCAAGTGTCTAGTGAGTCAGGTACTCTGTAAATACCAACTGTGATTGTCATAACTTGCTGCTAGAGTGAGCCCAGAACGTGGAAGCCAGCACCCGATGGATCTGTGCAGCTTGAGTTGTGGGTACCAGCTTCACCTTGTAGGCTCCTCGGCAGAACCACCCAGTAACCCCCACTGTGGGCGTTGCATGCAGTCTGACCTGTGACCCTTGCTGGGCCATCCTTGCAGCTTCCCACCTGACCCTGCCAGTGCCCTTGCCGAGACCTGGAGAGACATGCCTTTACCCAGACGGCCAGAGCCTCACAGCAGGGCCAGGGCCAGAAGCCAGCGCTCAGGATGGTCACTCAGCCCCTCCCAGATCAGGCAGGGAATTTCTGAATCGCCCCCTCAGGGGGCTGAAGGCTGTCAGGAGCAGAAGCCAGGGTGGCGGAGTGTGGGTTTGGAACTGGGCTTCATGTACCCCCAATCTAGGCACCTGAGGGCCTTGGCCCTCTTCCCCTCACTGTGCCCAGGCTCTGTAGAAGTTTTTTGGGCAGTGGCTGCAGGCCCACCCCGGGGACGGGGGGGACGGGGTGGGAGGAGAATTTGGGCGGGCTCTGACAGAAGGACCAGAGGACCCAGGGCCCCTGTCTTGGCTGGGCCTTGCAGGGGGCAGAGAGGGCTATGTTATACTCTGGCATGCTCGTGGGGGTGCCATGCTTCCAGAGGCAGGGATGGGATCAGGGCCTTTGGAGCCAAAGCCTGCCACCCTAGGGAATGACTTGGGCCTGCCTGGTTGCATGCGCATCCCAGGGCCATGGCAGGGGTGCTAGGGCAAGGCTGGAGAGCAAGCCAGTCGGATCCGGAAAAATCCCTGGCAGCCATACGGATGTGGAATTTTCCCCATTCCAGAGTCACCCAGTACTGGCGGGGGCAGCGGGGCTCTGACGCAGCCCGTGGCCCACTGAGTGGCCAGCAGGTTTTGCAATTCCCACAGCTGGAGCTGCACATTCCCAACCCAGGCAGGCGTTAGTTCTCATCCTTGGTCCTCCTCTGCGGTGAGGAGAGAAGCTGGGCCCTGAAGGTGGATCACGGAAGGGGCACCTGCATCCTGATGGTGCTATGCTCAGCCCTTATGGACACCGTGGAGAGGTGGGGTCAGTGGAGACCTCCTAGCGGCATGACTGGTTGGAGACGGGTCCCTTGCCTGAGCTTCCCTCAGGGGATCCTGGCACCCCCCTGCACCCCTCTCATCCACAGTTTAGACCCCAAAAATGTATGTCCCCAGCTTGCACTGACTCGAGCAGGAGGCCATACCTCACATTGGATATTCAGGGCTCCAGAGCCCCTAATAAAAGTTCAGCAACTAGTCTAGCCACCTCCCTTTGCCCAGAGCTCGGCTGCCCTCACCACCACCACCACGCCACCCGGTTTCCCAGGCACCCTCGAATCCCCTTCCGGGGCCGGGAGCTCAGCCGAGCCTCAGGGTCCAGCGGTGGGACAATGGCCCCGTTGGCGCATCCGAGACAAACGCGCCTTGTTGAGCCGGCGGCGGGGGCGCCGCGCTGCGCTCGGGGACGCTGAATGCGGCTTCTGTGCGTCCCCGGCGAGCGCGGAGGGGCTGGGAGGGGGCCGGGAGGGGGCCGGGGCCAGGCCGCCTATTGGCCGCAGCACCGGGGGACGGGCCAGGCTGGCGGCCGCACCTGGCCGGAGTGAGTGTGGCGGCGGCGGCGGGAGCATGGTCCAGGCCCGGTGGAGTCGGGGGCCCGGGCGGGTACGCCCCGCCGCCTAGTGAGCGCCCGGGCGGCGCGGCCCGGGACCGAAACAGCCACGCCAGGCCCGAGGAGAACGGGGCCAAGGTAAGTCCTGGGGGCCCAGCACCCACTGCTTGCTTGTGCCCTGCCTGGGGTTGCAGCCGGCACTACCCAGACCTCCAAACTGGGACCGCGGGAGTCAGCCCCTCAGACCTGAGTGGTGCGGGAGTGCAACAACCGCTCCGGGTCCGAGTGCCCGGCGGGCTGACAGAGGGTGGGCAGCTGGCGGGGGGGGTGGGGCACATTGGTGTGTGCCCTGGCCTTGGTTTCTTCCTCATAGCCCCCTTTCCAGGTTTTTCCCAGTCTTCGGACATGGGTGGGTGGGGCTGGAGCTGGGTTGGAGCTGGAAGTCCATTAATGATTAATCTTGGACACAGCAGCCTGAGCCCTGGGGGAGGAAGGGCAGGGATCTCCCCTGTTCCCACCAGCGCTTTCCAGAAGGGGTGAGGTGGGGGGCCATCGGACCAGGGACTGGGAGTCAGGGGGAGGGATGGATCCCCCTCTGCTTGGGGAAGGCCCCGTCCTATACCACAGAGGGGGCAAAGCCAGCAAAGAGAAGCTTGTGGAAGTGGGACAAGCCCTGATATCCAGGAAGGGCCCATAGGAAATCCAGCCGGTTGAGTTTCCAGGACCAATGTCCAGGAGGAGGTCCCGCTTGGTCTGCCCTGTCATTGTCAAGCCGGTACTTGGTCACAGCACAGAGCAAGGCTGTGGTCTCTTCCCAGTAAGGCCCTCCTTCCCACCTGCCTAGAGCTGGAGAAGTGATGATCTCACATCTGGCTGCAGTAAGTAACCCACACCAAGTAGGAGAGAGGGAGGGAGAGAGAGAGGGCCACAGGCCTGACACCAGATCACCTGGGTTGCCAAGGTGACGGGTGCCATGAAAATCCTCAGGAGGACAATCCAGTTGGGAGAATCCAACCTCTTCCTTTACCAAGGGGGGTGATCTGAGGCCCAGAGAGGTAAGGCCACCGGCAGGCCTGGACCAGAGCAGCCCCTATAGTGCTACACTGTACTTTGCCCTGCAAAGGAGGGCATTCCCGTTATCCTTAGGGGGAAACTGAGGCCCAGGGTGATTCAGTGACTTGCCCAAGGTCACACATAGTTCAAAGGTGGCTGAGTTGACTACGAATCACAGGAGTCTTGTCCCAGCCCACATCTCGGGACTGCTGCCCTGCTCAAGACCTCTCTGCTGCTCTGGGGTCCTAGGCTCTTGGATCTGCCTGTGCTGCCCAAACCCCTAGCTCGGGACCCCTCCCCCCCTTGCCTTCCTAGCTCCCAGCTCTGGCTGACACTCGGGGGTGGGCAGGCTGCTACTCTGGGAGCAGAGACAACAGAGCCCTGTTCCCAGCTGCCACCTCGGGCTGCTTCATTCCCTGCTTCTCACTCAGGCCGAGCCCTGCCTGAAGGAAGCTCCCTGTGGACAAAGGAGCCTGCCTGCTTCCTGTGTAACCCCTTGTCCAGTGGGCATGGGTCTGCTGTTTGAGAGCATGGGGCGAATGCCCTCTTGTCACCCAGCAAGAAAGGAGTGTTTCCCTGACAGTCCCCACTCTGGGCTCTGAGGGACTGAGTGTGTCACCCTGGGGAGAGGCAATGATTAACCTAAGCGAATGAGGCACAGATGGTGGAATTCCAGGCACGGCAGTAGGCTTGTGAAGGGCTTCTTCCTGGGTGAGGAATATGGTGAAGAACAACCCGTTTTATAACCGACAGGAAGGGCAGTAGTGAGCAGAGGTTCCCGTGGGAAGCAGTGGGCTGGAGGCTGGAGGAATCAGCAGGTAAAGAGTGATGGTTGGGAAGAACTGGGGTCCCAGATGATACCTTTTTTCCCACCTGCCTGTTCCAGGTGGCTTGGCCACTCCCAGACCCGATCCCAGCAGTGCCCTGACTTGCCATGGGACCTTAGGCAAGTCCTTTCCTCTCTGTGCCTCATTTTCCCCCGATGTGAAATCTGGGGGTGAGGGAACGCGGGTCTGGAGCATGGGAAATACGGGGGTTTGGATGAGGAGGGTTGCCTTCCAGGAGTCTGCACCGGTGGGTCCTGTTTCTCCTGCCAAGTGGGTCTAGAAAGGTCATGATAATAATCCAAGGTATGAGCAAAGGGCTCTGCACGCCTCATTCCATTTGATCCTCATAGCAAACCCGTGAGAGGGGCAAAATATTCCCATTGTTAAGAAGCTGAGGCTCAGAGAGGGGAAGTCACCTGCCCAAGATCGCCCAGCTGGGGACTGGGGGAGTCAGAATTCATAGCCAGAGCATCTCAGCCTCTCCAGGAGGGGAGAGGCAGGTGGGCAGATCCAGGACATCGTGCATAACAGGTGTTCAGCACCTTTTTAAAACCTTTATTCTGTTACATATTTTTATGCAAGCAAGTGCATGACATTCCTTTAAAAAACATTTCAGTCATGCTAGAAGGTACAGCGAATGATACGTATTCTCAGTAATTGGGAGTTAATAAAAAAACCACTGACTTCTTGGTTAACCTGTGTTTTGCCCCTCTGAAGCTACTTTGGGGCAACTTAGCCTTGATGGTGACTTTGCCCAGACAAGGCCGTATAGCAGGAAGAGCTTGCTTGTAGTTCTGACTTTGTCAGTTGGCCCTTCACTAGTTTCTGAGCCTCGTGTTCCCACCCATCCCATGGCTAGCAGGTGACCCTGGGAAGTCTGTAGGGGTCCCAGGCATGGTTGCCAATTGAAATGGTAGAGATAGGTGACCCTGCGAGATCAGAAAGAGGCTTCTGAATCATCAAAGAACATGCCCTCTTTCAGTCAGCTGCCAGACCTGGTACCCAGCTGGCCGCCATGCCCCCAGCCCAGGGGGCAGGCAGCAGGGGCAAGATGTCAGTGCTGACAGTTTGGGGGTGGTCCTATGAACCAGCAAATTGGGGTTCAGCTGAAGTGCCTCTCTGGGTGATCCTCCCCATCTCTACTCCAGCACCCCACTCCAGAGGGGCAGAGTGAGGAGGCTTCTGGGTCCCTGCAGGGCACTGGCCCGGGCTCCTGGGTGGAGGGCCAACCTTTCCCATCTGCACCTTTAACTGTGCAGCCCACACTTCCCAGCTTCTCTGCCCCGGACCCCTGCTGCTTCTTCCCCACTTTAGGACACTGAGGCTCGGAGAGGGCTGTGGTCGCACAGCAAGGAGGGGTATGGTTCCGACTAGCCACTTCTCTCTCCTCCTCCAGCCAGACTATAGGTTTTCAAAAATGGAAATATCTTTTCATTTTAATTCTTTTCCAGAGTAATACAGACTCTTGTAAAGCAAAATCATATGTGTGTGTATATATTTTTTCACTTCATTATATATTATGGACATCATTTAAATGAGTACATAATAAACCATGGAGTGAATGTCACATAATATTTTTAACCATCCCCTATCGTTGGACATTTAAGTTGTTTCTGTCTTTCCCCTTTGCTAAACTTTTGCACCCTTCTCGGATCTCCTGTTAGATTGTCTTCTGTGAACAAATGAGCACAGATGGAATTGCCGGGTCTGAGGATGGGCACCTTTAGAACTGTAATAGTTGCTGTCAAGTATGCAGTCTGAGAACTCTAGGGGGAGTCTTGTTGCTCCACTTTTAAAGTCTCCTCTAGGGTCCCCATGAGATTCCCTTCCAGCTACAAGAAACAGCCCTAGGACACCCTCACCCCTTCACCTTGTCTTCCAGAACCCTGTTCCCATGTGTGTGCACTGAGCAAACAGCATGGATGCCCATCAGTCAGGGAATGGTTCATGGGGAGCAATGTTCCACAGAATGTTCTACAGCCAATGGCTTCAGAGGCTCTTTATCTTTAACTCCTTGGGGGACTCTTGCCCTCCTGGCAGGGCTCTTCACCTTCCTCCCCCTTTCTCTAGTGGATTCCATTTGCTTCTCTGACATCAGTTCCCACCTCTGTGCCCATGGCTCCCAATCTCTTTCCCCTGAGATCTCCCTCTTGTGCTCCAGGTAAGGGATCTTATTGCTCTTTGCATATTCTACAAGCATCCCACACATCGCTCAGACTCAGCTTGTCCTAAATTGAAACTGACATTGCCCATCCAACCCCAATACTAAACATACCCCTCTCTTAGGCTCTCCCACTCAGGGACCAGCTCCACCCCCAGCCAGCTCCACCCCTAGTCACCCCAACAGGGTTCCTCCCTCCCCTCCCCCACACCCTATCGTTCACCAAACGTTGTCTATGCCATGGCCTGCAGATGGTTCCAGTTCATTCCCAGCCTTCTCGTTGGTCCAGGTCATTTCACGCCTAGCAGCTATAACCCACTGTCAAGGTCTGCTGGCTTCTCCCAGTCCTTCCCCATCCCTACTGTTCATTTTCCATTTAGCAGCCTGATGGGAATCCCGTCTCCTCACTTCTCTGCTGAAGACTTTCCAGGGTTCCCCACTGCCCACAGGATCCAGGCCAGATTCCTTAGCATGCTTCCCTGAGACCCTTCATCTCCTGCCTGCCCCTGCCCCCTTTCTGGCTGTGCTTCTAGTCTCCCCTGCACACCCAGCCTCTGACGTACACACATCCTGGACGTTCCAGCCAAGCTGAACATTTGTTAGTTTCTCAATCGCCCTGGGTCTTTGCACGTGCTTTTCTCTCTGCCTGGCTCATTCCAGGGTAACAAGTGCATTAGTTAATCCTAGCTGCTGTAACAGACAAGCCCCAAGTTCCGAAAGGCTTAGCACAATGGCAGTTTAGTTGTCATTTTCATGAAATCTAATCAGGTGTTTAGTGAGTGGTGATGTGAATACCAGCCTCCTCCCATCTCATGGCCCCTGCCCATCTCCAGATCGTTGGAGCTGGCCCCATTCATCCAGCATACGCGAAAGGAGACCACAGAGAATGTCCGCCCACCTAACATCAACAGCTATTATTCTGCTCACATTCCGTTGGCCAGAATTCAGTCACAGGAGGACACTGAACCACAAGGGAGGATGGGAAATGTAGTTTAGCCATGTACTCAGGGAGAAAAGGGAACTAACTGCCTTTGGAAATCAGAAAACACACAGTAGCTTCTGCTACCAGGGACCCCTAATCCTAGGAAGCCTCCCTGAGCATGCTCTTCCTGCCACCCCCCCCAGACTGGATCAGGTGTTTGCGTTCCAGCAAGCCCCACCGTGTCCTCCATCACAGCACCTGCAGCTGCCTGCTCCTCTCACCCCCAGGACTGTGAGCCCAGAACTCTGGCACGGGAATGATGAACCCTAGTGCCAGGCACAGGGCAGGTGCTCCCTAAATAACTGGAATGGATCAATTTAAAACTAATTGTGGTCACAAAAAGATGTCCACAATCTATTGACATGGGAGAGGGGGAGCAAGGTAAAGACAAAATGTATTCCCCCAAAGAGACCCCTTCTATCATCTGTATGGGTTTATGGACAGAAAAAATGTGGGGAGGCTTGTGCTAAAGTTTTAAGGGCAGTGACCTATGGGGATGGAGCTCTTTTCATTGTCTTTGCATTTTTCTGTAATGTCTGAATTTTTTTTTCAGTGATCATGTACTGCTTTTATAATTAAAAACTTTTTTTTTTTTTGCTGGGGTTGGGGGAGAACCAGCCAGAGATGACATCACTATCGATACCCTGAGAAGGGAACCCTCTGGCAGGGCTGGAAGCCTAGGTTCTGCTATCAATGCTTCCTACTCTAGAAAGCTCTGCTTCACGTGGCTCTTCTTTACCTGCCTTCCCACCCCACCACGACCTCACCCAGATCCTGACCTCCACTCCCTCCTGCCCAAGATCCTTAACCTCTTGTGACATGGGCTTGTCACATCGCGTCCTTGAGCTTCAGCTCCCTCCTCTATAAAATAGGGGTGGTAACAGGGCCTCCAGTGGCAAGGATTATGAGGGCATGTGATGCATGAGAAGTCCTGAGCACAGGACCGTACTGCGTTTGGTCAAGAGTCCACACTCATAAACCACCTCTCTGCTGTTTGATACCAGCTCTGCCCTGACTCACCCCCCCCATACATTTATTTATCTGTTTTCAAATTAGCTCAGCCCAGAACAGATGAATAAATAATGCTACTCCCGTGCCTTGGGCCAATCCAGCATTCAGAGAGATATGGACTCTTGGTCCTCCCTGTGGCTGTTTAAGCTCTGGTATTTCATGGGACCTTGAGGGCTGCTCCCAGGCTGGGTGGGGTTGTAGGGGAAGGGGCAAAGTGTCCGAGCAAATGTCAGATGCCTACTGTTCCCTGGGAGGAGTTGGCAGCTGGTCAACCTATGAAAGTGCTCAGTGTGAGATAAATGACTGTCGTGATAGTTATTACTATTAACCGATGGTCAATTACTGGTTTTTTTAATATTTTATTTATTTATTTGACAGAGAGAGAGAGAGCACAAGCAGGGGAAGCAGCAGGCAGAGGGAGAGGGAGAAGTAGGCTCCCTGCTGAGCAAGGAGCCTGATGTGGGGCTCGATCCCAGGACCCTGGGATAATGACCTGAGCTGAAGGCAGACGCTTAACCGACGGAGCCACCCAGGTGCCCCGATGGTCAATTACTATTAACCTTGGTCCCTAGAGCCCCTGTGCCTGACCGAAGGATGTGAGGTGCTTTTCTGGGCATCTTCTGTTCATGGCAAGGCTGAACCCGGACCCCAAGACAGACCTAAACCCAGCTAAGAGTGGGGTGTAAGAGATTTCAGCACCTCCGGTGAGCCTGAGGGCCCTTGGGGTTTAGGACAGGGCCCCTAGAACTGCCTCTTCTTGCCAAGACCTGGGGAAGGATTGGCACCTGCAGTGGGCCCGAATCTCTCCAAGCTGGTCCACGGAGTCCCGTGCGCCGATCCCCACACAGGGTGCAGACAGGAGAGGCATGATCGTATTGCCTCTTTGATGAAGGACTTGGAGCTCACAGGTAAAATCTCATCAGACTGATCCTCCCAGAGCTGGTCAGGTTCTCTGCCCCTAGGAGGACTCCTGGGTGAGTGGCTTGCTCTGGGGGCTCCGCCGATTTTAGACAAACCTTGGTCTCTGGTTGTATCTCGGTATCTTTAAGCCCTGGAATTTGGCAAGTGTGCATTTGGATTTTCTGACTGGCACTGACTGTCCCCTGCTAACTATGTGACCTTGGACGGGTGAGTTCATCTCTCTGAGCCTCCATTTCTTCACCTGGAGAGTGGGCTAATCATGGTGCTTAATGCATGGGGCAGCATTAAGATGAGGGGGACTTAATGAGATGCTGGGACTTAATGAGATACTGTTCGAGGAGCAATTCGCCTCCCCGATTCTCCGCAGAGCTCTGCAGCTGCTTGTGTCCTTGGTCCAAGGACACCTGAGACCTGGCTGAGCCCTGGGGTGAAGGAGCTGCCTGGCTGTGGAGGTCTAGAGATAGTCAGGGACCACCCGGAATGTGTCCCTGGCAGAGGGCCCGGGTAGCACCTGCAGGGTACAGACACATGCCACCTGCTATCCCCCCGGGGAGGGACCTCATGAATATTCACACCCACTGGAACGTGAGGAAGCCAGCCAGAATACTGCTATAGGAGCGTTCCTGTTTCCCAGTGACCGGAGAGGCAGCCTGGGAGTCAGATGTGGCTCAGACAGGGAGAGGAAAGGGGCAGCCAGCCATGGCCCAAGGTGAGTGTGTCTTCCTCCACCCCTGCACAGGGGTCCCTGGGGGAGCAGGACACCTGGGACCAAGGCCTGCCTGGTAGTTATGCTGTAGGACAGAAGGTTTACCATCCTGGGCTCGGTTTCCCTACGTGCATGCTGTGGCGATGAGTCCTGTTTCTCCTTCCTTCTCTAGAGGGTGCTGGTCCAACCGAACGGGAGGATTGCTGGGCCTGGCCTGGAGCCAGCTGTCAGCACAGATGGAGGGCGATGTGCCTGTGGTAACCAAGAAGGATAGGAATAGATGGGGTGGGCTAGGGAGGGGGGCGGGCCATCACTCCTGAGTGCCTGGGACTGTCACCACCATAGGCAGAGGAAGAGAGACCCAGATTCTAGTTCTCTCTGCTGCTGCTGTGCTGTGTGACCTTCAGGGTAGCCCTGCCTTCTCTGAGCCTTAGCCTCCCTGCTGTGCTGTCTTCCCGATTGGAAGCTGTGAGGCTCAGCCCACACTGTAATCATCCCTGGTGCCCCATGGCCTTGGACCTGGGGCTGTCTGTTGACTGCAAGCCTCCACTGTGGGCCATGGGCACACACCTTGAAGGGGCCATGACTGGGACCCTGGGAGGGCAATCATAATGATGATAATAATAACGATGGCCACCCATGCCCAGGGAGTGTATGCTCTGTGCCAGCCCTGTGCTGGGCACTTTCCTTGTGGGATGAGGGAGATCTGCGTGATGCCCTGTGATGGGGGCGGAGTTGGCACCGTCATTTTAGAGGAGAATCTGAGACCCAGAGAGGGACACAGCCTTCTTACCTAGGGCACACAGAAAGGAAGCAGCAAAACTGGGTCTCAAACGCAGGACCCTGGCCCCAAGGTGCTGGCCCCAGGTGGCCCTCGGATGTGTGACTCACACGTGTGGCTCCCACCCACTCGTGTTAGCCCCGGCTACATTCTGCCCTGAGGGTCATGGGGGTCATTCATCAAACATTTACCTGGTGCCAGGCTCCAGCAGCGCAGGGATGAGTTACCTTAGGCTTGCCTGCAGCCGGGCACAGAGGAGCTCTCTCCGCCCATAAACCTGGGCCCAGGAACCTGGTCCCTGGTCAATAGTGATGATAAGAATAATTAATATGTATAGATCTCTGCCTGTGTGCATGCATCCTCTCGTTCAAATCTCAGGCTCATGACTCTTCCTCTCAGCCAGGCTCCTGGCTGCCAGCCAGCCCCTTTTTGGACCTTGGTCTACCCAGGGACTCTGCCTGTGGTTACCAAGGGCCCTGTTTGCCCTGATCTTGGTGCTGTGTGTCCATCGTACACATGAGGAGACTAAGACGGAGAGGCCGAGCAGCATGCCCAAGTCCACAGAGACCAGGCAGGAAGGGAACCATCAGCCTCGAATGCCTCAGGCTGTTGACACAGTAGGGACCAGCCACCAAGGCCCCCTCTGTTTCTCTACTTTTCCTCCTGGCTGCCCTGGCTCAGCCCACAGAGGCCACACCCTGCTGTGCTGCTGGGACAGAGCCCCATTAGCCACACTTTGGCCTCCTGTGGTGGATCTTCTGGCTGCACACACACTTCCTGCGGGCTTGGGACTGGGCTTGGGACATGCCAGGCAGGGGCTGCCACAGACAAAGCTGGAAGATGCATATTGGAGGCTGACAGACTTGGGCTTGAATCCCAGCCCCGCCCCCTGCCTTGCTGAGTGACCCTAGGCAAGTCACATCACCTCCTGGAACCTCGATTTCCCCATCTGCAAAATGGGAGTGACAGTGGGGTCAGCCTGCTGGGATAGCTAAGCAGAATCAGTGAGATGCTCTAGAGAAGTCCCTGCCCAGGGCCTGGCTCATAGCAGGGGCTCAAAAGTGAAACCTGAGGGCAGGCATGGTTTCAGGAAGCCCAAGTGGCAGAGTGAATGAGTGAAGCCGTGATGGGGAGGTTGGGGGCGCTGTCCTGGGCCAGGCTAGGTGGAGCCTGATTGGTGGTTCTGGGAAGCTGGTCTGCCCCCTGCTGCTGGGCTTCTACCCCAGAGCTTCTGTCATCAGCCTCTCAGATTTCCGGAAAGTGCCCTGGTGAGTAGGGCTGCTGGGGCAAGAGTGGACCCTGGGGATTTGGGGAGGGTAGGAATTTTACCCTCCCCTGTTTTAAAGTCAGAGAACCCAAGGTCTAGGGCCCCACTCAGGGTTTGGGCCCGAGTCTGAGGCTCTGGCCTGGCTTTAGGCTCTGCCCTGTTTTCTAGTGGGCCCTAGGGGACAGGAGCCCAATTGGGGCACTTGATGCAATGAGCTGGTTTGTGCTGGGAGCCGGCAGCAGCCACTCCTTGCTCAGGGGAGCACACCCTGAGGGTGACAAAGACTGAGACCAGGAGCAGGTCCCCAGGGGCTCAGGAGGGAAACAGCTAACACTCTTTGAGAGATAACTACATGCTAATTGCTTTCTTTGCCTCCTCCATCTCTGAAAGAGCCAGTGGTGGTGGTGGTGGGGGGGGTTGTTATCAGCTTCCCAATTTTACAGATGAGAAACTGAGGCTCCATGGAGGTTCCTGTGATTGAAACACAGGCCTGGGGCCTCCAGAGCCTGGGGTCAGCACCTCCCCCTCCATGACCAGACTGGCTAGCCACGTTACCCCACCCTGCATTCTTTATCACCTATTATTTAAATATATTAAATACATTTTATTGCCTTTTTTAAAAAAGATTTTATTTATTTATTTATTTATTTAAAGATTTTATTTATTTATTTGAGAGAGAGAGAATGAGAGAGAGCACATGAGAGGGGGGAGGGTCAGAGGGAGAAGCAGACCCCTGCCGAGCAGGGAGCCCGATGCGGGACTCGATCCAGGGACTCCAGGATCATGACCTGAGCTGAAGGCAGTCGCTTAACCAACTGAGCCACCCAGGCGCCCCAAAAAGATTTTATTTATTTATTTTACAGAGAGAGACAGCGAGAGCAGGAACACAAGCAGGGGGAGTGGGAGAGGGAGAAGCAGGCTTCCCACTGAGCAGGGAGCCCGATGCGGGGCTCGATCCCAGGACGCCGGGATCACGACCTGAGCTGAAGGCAGCCGCTTAAAGACTGAGCCACCCAGGCACCCCTTTATTACCTTTTTTAAATTAAAAAAGTAATACATGCTCCCTTTTTAAAAAGCATTTGTTACAGAAATGCATAATATAGAAAAATATTCCCGTGTATACCCCTTTTCCTAGCTATGCAGAGGATACTACTATTAACATTTAGAATACTGCCCTCCAGTTGTTTCTGGGCCTACATGTATACATATATGGATTTGGGGGCATAGTGTTCTGGAACTTTCTTTTTTCACATTATTAGATCATGATGTGTTTTTGAGCCAGTCCACTTAGCTCTGTCTTGTTTTGTTAATGGGTACAGAAGACTCCATCTGGGAACAGGCCTTGGTTTGTGTAACAGACCCCCACTGATGGACGTTGAGGTCATTTCTAATTTTTTAAATTTCTGACCACGCTGCCATGACCATCATGTCATGTGGGACTTTGCCCAAGTGTTTATGTGGAATCGTTGGAATTTGGAGAGCTTACACCTTCCTCCTTTGCTAGAATGAACTGCCTTCTGGAAACATTCTCCCTCATTCTCGTTTACCCCTGACTTGTCCACCTTGCCCACCTAAGAGTGAACAGAGATACGTCATTGTCATGAGGGAGGCCAAATTCCCTCTTGCATAGTTTCTTCCTCTGCACATTGCTTCCTTATATCCTTTCCCGTGCTGAGAAATTTCTAGAGGATGAGCAGAAGACTCAGGGACTGGTGCTGGCTGCTGGGATGGGGCCTGGAGTGCCCCTTCTCTGAGAAGGGTTTATGGGTGCCTTGGGTAACTTTCCCAGAGGGAAGTATGTGGGGTCCTCCTCCAGGCAGGCTATTGAGCCTCTGCCCCCAGGGATGGTGGCGACGTGCCGTGCGTGTGGTCACGGGGCAGCATGCATGACTTCTTGTGGCCTCAAAGGCCCAAGGCCTCCATGCCGCATGTGTTAGAGCTGGAGTGGAAAGTTTTGTGCCCTGGTATTACAGCTGAGGGGAGGGAGGAAGGCGCCCTGAGCCCCGGCTCTCTCCTGGGCTCCCATCCCTCAGCATGAACTGCCCCCCTTAGAGTTCATGCCTCAGTCCCCCGCCGTTAGAGATGCCACAGTTAGACCAAAAGACTAGACCGAAAACTCCCCAAACCAAAACAAACAAACAAAAATTACACCCAATGTAATTTTCAGATAAACACTGAATAATTTTTAGTATGTCCTGTGCAATATTAAAATTAAACAACTTTTGGGGCACCTGGGTGGCTCAGTCGTAAGCGCCTGCCTTCGGCTCAGGTCATGATCCCGGGGTCCTGGGATTGAGCCCCACATCGGGACCCCTGCTCAGTGGGAAGCCTGCTTCTCCCTCTCCCGCTCCCCCTGCTTGTGTTCCCTCTCTTGCTGTGTCTCTGTCAAATACATAAATAAAATCTTAAAAAAAAAAATTGAACAACTTTTGGGGTGCCTGGGTGGCTCCGTTGGTTAAGCGGCTGCCTTCGGCTCAGGTCATGATCCCAGGGTCCTGGGATCGAGCCCCGCATCGGGCCCCCTGCTCAGCGGGAAGCCTGCTTCTCCCTCTCCCGCTCCCCCTGCTTATGTTCCCTCTCTTGCTGTGTCTCTGTCAAATACATAAATAAAATCTTAAAAAAAAAAATTGAACAACTTTTGGGGTGCCTGGGTGGCTCCGTTGGTTAAGCGGCTGCCTTCGGCTCAGGTCATGATCCCAGGGTCCTGGGTCGGCAGGTCGCCTGCTTCTCCCTCTGCCTGCCTGCCACTGCCCCTGCTTATGCGCGCTCTCTCTGACAGGTAAATGAATGAAATCTTTAAAAAATAAATAAATAAATAAAATCATAAAAAAATTAGACAACTTTTGGGGCGCCTGGGTGGCTCCATTGGTTAAGCACCCAACTTGGTTTCAGCTCAGGTCATGATCTCGTGGTAATGGGATCGAGCCTCGTGTCGGGCTCTGCGCTCAGCACGGAGTCTGCTTCAGATCCTCTCTCCCTCTCTTTGTCAGGCACGTGTGCGTGTGCTCTCTCTCTAAAATAAATAAATAAAATCTTTTTTTTTAAGAGTTTATTTATTTATTTAACAGAGAGAGACAGAGAGAGAGAGAGGGAACACAAGTAAGGGGAGTGGGAGAGGAAGAAGCAGACTCCCCACTGAGCAGGGAGCCCAATGCGGGGCTCGATACCAGGACCCTGGGACCGTGACCCGAGCCGAAGGCAGACGCCTAACCGACTGAGTCACCCAGGCGCCCCATAAATAAAATCTTTAAAAATAAATAAAATTACACAAATTTTATTCATTGTTTATCTAGAATTCAGATTTCCCTGGGCAACCCTGCCTGCTGGCAATCAGAGAGAGGAGGTAGGTTTGTGCAGAGGCCTGGCTGTGTGAACTGAACCCTCTCCTTCCTCACTCTGAGCCTCAGTTTCTCCATCTGCCTGCCCTATGGACCCAGGGGCACAGGGACCAGTGAAAAGAGATGAGGAGCCTCAGCTCCTTACTGGGCAGCTGGGAAGGGTGGCACAGGAAACAGGTGGTCTGGCTGGGTCTTTAGAAAGCTGAGAGATTCAGGCCCAGGGAGGCCCTTGACCCCTCCTTGTGAATAGCCCTGGCCCCAGGCCTGGGGGGAGGGGGCACCGGGAGAGGGTCTTCTTTTTCTGTCTTACAAAATGATTTCATTACGGGATGCCTGGGTGGCTCAGTCGGTTGAGCGGCTGCCTTCGGCTCAGGTCATGATCCCTGGGTCCTGGATCGAGCCCGGCATTGGGCTTCCCACTCAGCGGGAAGCCTGCTTCTCCCTCTCTCACTCCCCCTGCTTGTGTTCCTTCTCTCGCTGTGTCTCTCTCTGTCAAATAAATAAAATCTTTAAAAAAAAAAATACAAAATGATTTCATTACGAAGCCCCAAAACATATAAAGTAAACTGATGACACCTGGGTACCCACCCTACCCTTAAAAATTAAAACTGAACCAGGCAGTAGAACCTGCTTCCTGCCCCATCCCCCAGTCTCTCTCTGCATTGGCTTTGCCCACCGTCTCTGTCTGCACCCCTGTCGCTGTGTCTCTCCATGCATTTGTCTCTCTGTCCCTGTGTGAATCTTGTTGGGGGGGCCACAGAGCCGGCCAAGGGCCAGCCAATGTCAAAGGCTGCCTTCGACCCAGCCAGGCCTGGGGCAGCAGTGGAGGCTCCCTGGGGCTGGCCTCCTGATGCTTGCCCTGCTCTGTGACCCCACAGGTATCTGAGATGCCGCTGCCCCAGAAGAAGCGCTGGGTGTCCATGGCCAAGGGGCTGGTGCTGGGAGCGCTCTTCACCAGCCTTCTGCTGCTGCTGTACTCCTATGCTGCCCCCCCACTGCACACTGGCCTGGCCTCCACGTGAGTGGCTCTCGAGGGGGGGGCAAGCGGTG